GTGTATGATCCTTTTTTTTTTTTTAAGGAAGATTAGCCCTGAGCTAAGCACTGCCAATCCTCTTTTTGCTGAGGAAGACTGGCCCTGAGCTAACATCCATGCCTATCTTTGTCTACTTTGTGTGTGATCCTTTTAATGTACTATTGAATGCAGTTTGCTAATATTTTGTTGAGGATTTTTGCACGTACGTTCATCAGGGATATTGGCCTGCAATTTTCTTTTCTTGTGGTGTCCTTGTCTAGTATCAGGGTAATACTGGCCTAGTAAAATGAGTTTGGAAGTATTCCCCTCTCTTCTATTTTGAAAAAGTTTGAGAAAGATTGATATTAATTCTTCTTTAAATGTTTGATAGAATTCACCAGTGAAGCTGTCTGGTCCTGGACTTTTGTTTGTAGGAAGGCTTTTGATTACTGATTTGGTCTCCTTATTAGTAATCAGTTTGTTCAGATTTTCTGTGTCTTCATGATATAGTCTTGGTAGCTTGTATGTTTCTAGGAAGTTATGCATTTCTTCTCAGTTGTCTGATTTGTTGACATATAATTATTCATAATAGTCTCTTACGAGCCTTTGTATTTCTGTGGTATCAGTTTTAATGTCTCCTCTTTCACTTCTGATTTTATTTATTTGAGCCCTCTCTCTTTTGTTCTTGTTAAGTGTAGCTAAAAGTTTGTTTTATTTATCTTTAAAAAAAAAACAGCTTTTAGTTTCATTGATCTTTTCTGTTGTCTTTTTAGTCTCTATTTCATTTATTTCTGCTCTGATGTTTGTTATTTCTTTCCTTCTACTAACTTTAGGCTTAGTTTGTTCTTCTTTTCCTAGTTCCTTGAGGTGTAAATTTAGGTTATTGAGAGATTTTTGGTTTCTTAATGTGCGCATTTACTGCTGTGAAATTCCCTCTTAGAGCTGCTTTTACTGCATCCTATAAGTTTTGGTATGTTGTATTTTCCATTTTCATTTGTCTCAACATATTTTTTTATTTCTCTTTTGATTTCTTCTTTGACCCATTGGTTTTTCACTCTCATGTTGTCTAATCTCCACATGTTGCTGATTTTCCATTTTTCTCTTTGTAATTGGTTTCTAGTAGCAGACCATTATGGTCAGAAAAGAGGCTTGATATGATTTCAGTCTTACTAAATTTATTAAGACGTGTTTTCTGGCCTAACATACGATTCTATCCTGGAGAAGGTTCTGTGTGCACTTGAGAAGAATGTGTATTCACAGTATAACTTTTCAATTTAGATCTTTAACCAGTTTGAAATTTATGTTTATATATGGTATGAGCAGGAATCTGACCACACCTAGGCCCAGTTGACCCAATACAATTTGTTGATTTCAAATGTCTCCAGATCGTATTCCAAATTCTACTGATCTAATTTTATCAATACAATACTCTTCTAATTACTGTACTTCCATTGTGTGTTTTATAATCTGGTTGAGCAAGTCCCAGAGCATTTTTCTTCCTTTAAAATATTTTCTTGGCTTTTCTTACATATTTACACTTCAGAATAAATTTTAGACTCAATTATCAAGATCCAAAAAGAGCCTTTGGGTTTTGGTTTGGAAATGTATTAATATTATACTTTTAGGTGAAAACAAAATCAGTTTACAAATAACCATTTTGTTTCTAAAGATTTTTTTTTCCTTTTTCTCCCCAAAGCCCCCCAGTATATAGTTGTATATTTTAGTTGTGGGTCCTTCTAGATGTGGCATGTGGGGCACAGCCTGACGAGCAGTGCCATGTCCGCACCCAGGATCCGAACCAGCGAAACCCTGGGCTGCTGAAGCAGAGTGCACGAACTTAACCACTCGGCCACAGGGCTGGCCCCCCTATTTTGTTTCTAAAATTATATATATATATATAATAAAACAAAGTCTCAAAGAATATTTGACAGAATATATATAGTGGTGGTTATCTCCTGATGCTAATATTATAGGTAGATTTTTTTTCTTCGTGCTTTTCTTTTCCAAATTTTCTGCAATGGATGTGTAATACTTTTTAAATCAGAAAAAAAAGAAACTGAAAAATGTTATTATAAACTAAATTGTGTCCATTAATAACTTCATGATTATCTACTTAACATAACAGAAGACAAATTAGGATAAAAAATATTTCATGGGAAACAAATATGTGACTTGTAGAGAGTCTCGTGCAGATACCTGTTGTCCAGAATAGAATATTCCTGGGAAGAATTGAGACGGGAAACTGACATGAGCAGTTCAGCATCACAGCCACCTCACTTACTTGCGTGGCTGACTTCAGTTCCATTGAAGAGACTTGAAAGTTGTAGCCTTTTCGCCTAGCAGTATCTCTGGACTATATTCTTTACAAGGCACTTGGCTTCTTGGTTTCCCCATTTCAGAGATTCATATTCATATGACACAGCCAGAACGTGAGATGCACCAAGACTTAATGTGGTCTAAATCTGGCCCTTGTATGTCCTGGTCTGTTAGTCAACATTTAGCAGAAAGAAGATTACTAAATCTGTTCCCAACTCTTTGATATATTTGAAGAAGCAGCATGCTAATTTCTGGCTTAGAGCATCTAGATTTTATCAACAGTGTAGTTAAAACTTGATTCTCTTAGATTTTTAATGTATACGCTCTTTCTGGGTAATCTTATCTATTTTATAAAAACAACAGGAAGGATAGTTATAACAACATCCAACATTTATCAAACATTCTCTGTGAGTCAGGCGTTGTGCTGCACTTTACATGAATATCTCATTATGTCTTCAAAACAACCATATAAATGTTATTACTCCATTTTGCAGATGAAGAAACTGAGGCTTGGAGACGTCCAGGTCATACAAACTGGTAATTGGCAGCGCTGACGTTGAAACCCAAGCAGTCCAACTCCAGAGCCTCTGTTATTGACTACACTTTAAACTCAGTTTTTAATTTCCTTCCTTCCCTAAAGCCTGCTCTGCCCCCTGTGTTTTCAATCTTATTTGTCTAATTTCCTCAGCTAGAACTGTCAAAATTATTCTCCATTCCCTCTCACTTAACTCCACCTCCTCTCGGTCCTGCCTTTGGAAAGTCTCACATCCGTCTGTTCCTCTCCGTGTCCCCCAACCTGCCTTAGTGTCAGCCCTGCTTAACTCTCACCTGGGCTTGCAACAATAACCTCCCTTGATGTATTCTTCCTTCCACTCAGTCTCGCGTGTTTTTATGTTGGTAAGAAAATGAAGCTAATCATGTCACTGCGCAGTGTAAAAACTCTTGGGCTTCCTTTTGTTGTTATTTTAACCAGATTAAATCTGAACTCCTTAGCTTTACATACACAGTCTTGCCTCAGTCTGTCTCTTCTGCTTCATTTCCTGTCGTTCTCCCCGCAGTCCCCTTACCTCGTGCTCCAACCATATTGAACATTTCACCCTGCCCTACATCTGGGCCAAGCCCTTTCATAGCTCTGCACATCAGCGTTTGTTTCATCTGCTTGAAAGCCTCTTCTGTCTTTGATCTCCCAGGCGAACTCCTATTCAGCTCTCAAGATCCAGATCACATGTTGCCTTTAGTAACATCTTCTTGGACTCCCCCAGGATGAAACAGAGTCATTCTTAGGTCTTCCTTGTACTGGGATGTAATTATCTGTTATTGTTTGTCTCTTCCATTAACCTAAATGGGTCTTCAAGGCAAGGACCAAATCTATTCATCTTTCAGTACCTAGCACATAGTAAGCCCTCAATAAATGTTGGTTTAATGCTTGAGAAGACCTGTCAAAGAGTGTTTAAAACAATAAGAAGTTAGGGGTCATCCCGGTGGCGCAGCGGTTAAGTTCGCACGTTCTGCTTCAGCGGCCTGGGGTTCACTGGTTCGGATCCCGGGTGCAGACATGGCACCACTTGGCAAGCCATGCTGTGGCAGGCGTCCCACGTATAAAGTAGAGGAAGATGGGCACAGATGTTAGCTCAGGGCCAGTCTTCTTCAGCAAAAAGAGGACTGGCAGCAGGTGTTAGCCCAGGGCTAATCTTCCTAAAAAAAAAATGGGAAGTTAGAAATATACTTACTCCTAAACAAACAGAAGACTATCTTATGTTTCTCAAAATAATCTCCTTAGCTAAATTAGCAGGTCTAAGGTAGGATATTCTAGTGTACTGAATGAGAGTGGTACATGGCAAATGAGGGAGGTGTTTTAAATGATGGTTCCCCAGAGCAAAGACCATGATGCAAGGTGAGGATCCTGTCTGAGGTCGCCCGTGTGTCCTCCTCCACTCCTGGGCACGTGTGAGATACTGTACACAATGGACAGAGTGTTTCAGCCGGAAGGAGAGGCCTAGGATTGGAGTCCCAGTCTGCAAATTACCATCTTTGGGCCTTAGACTAGTCACTAACTTCAAGGCCTCATTGTCATAAAGAGACATTTGATATTTACTTTTACACTTTCCTGGTTGTTAATTTTGGTGCAGAAAGACTTCAATAGAAAGTGCCTTTTTTGTCATTTCTTTTTTTTTTTTCCGGCTTTATCAAAGTGTATTTAAAGCAAATTGTGATATATTTAAAGTGTACAACATGATGATTTGATATACGTACACATCATGCAAGGATTCCCACAGTTGAGTTAATACGTCCGTCATCTCAACGTTGCCTTTTTTTCTTTGTGGGAACACTTAAGTTATACTTTCTTAAAAAGTTTCAATTACACAATACAGTATTATCAACTGTAGTCACCATATTGTACATTAGCTTCTCAGACCTTATTCATCTTCTAACTGAAAGTTTGTTCGCTTTTATCAGACTTTCCCCCAACTCCCCAGCCCCTGGCGACTACCATTCTGTTCTCTCTTTGTATGAGTTCTACTTTGTTTTTAGATTCCACACACGTAAGTGATACCAAAGAAAGTATTTGTCTTTCTCTGTCTGGCTTGTTTCACTTAGCATAATGCCCCCCAGTTTCATCCATATTGGTGTAAATGTCATTTATTGGTGAACAATAATTCTTAACAAAGTGCAAATAGGATTGTTTTATTTCATCCGAAATCCATCTTTCCTTTCTTTTTCAGCTTCAGAATGAATTAGAAAAAGGTGAACGGGACAATGCAGACCTGCAGGAGTTTGCCAATGCCATTCTCCAACAGATAGCAGATCACTGCCCTGACATCCTGGAGCAAGTGGTCAACGCGTTAGAAGAGTCGTCCTGACCCTGCTGCCTGGGGAGGGCGAGCCCAGCAGCCCGGCAGAGTGAGCCCCAGGAGCCAAGAAAGGAGAACTACGAGGAGCGGGCCCCCAGAAACTTCTTGGCACCAAACAAACACTGCGAACCCTATCCTATCTTGGTCAGTCCTTCAAGTGTGATTCCAGCACCATTGCTACATGTGTCATCTTACTCTGCCCTTCTACTTTGGATGTTGTCTCTACACTAATTTTCTTGATGTCCAGGGTGGGTAAGTGGCCAAGTCTCCCTGAAGAACTGCCATCCAGTCAGCACCAGTGGAGAACTGTGGAAGCTGGTGGCTCTTCCCTTACAGACGGGCATGGAGTAGAGAGCCCTCTTACCTCTGTGCTTGGCATGAGAACTAAATCTGGAATCTACTTGGAGTTCAACATATTGAGAGAATACTTCCCAATGGACCAGAGAGCTGTCTGTTCTAATATCACAACAGGTGCTTTCTCCTAAAAGAGTTTTTAAAAATCACAAAAAGAGTATTAGAAAAAGAGAGAACAGGGACAAAGAGAAAACCGACTCTTCTTTATGCTACTTCTTTTGTTGACTTTTCCTGTCTGGTGTTTTATGCAGAGGAGCTACAAGCAGGCCTCATGATGGCTAAGTGAACACTAATACCCCTGGTTTTGAGTCTTCACCCAGCCCACTCTGTGTCACCTGTCCTTGCTCTTCTCCCCAAACAGTGAACAAGAGGGTGGTGTGACCAGTTCTCCCCTAGTCCCTCTTGTTTAAGACCTCTGACTTTATTCTACTTTGTTTGCTGGATCATGTGTCTCTAGTTGAAAGAGAAGAGCGTTTGACCTGAGGCACTGCCGTCACCACCTGCAGCTCTGCCTCTGTGGCAGATGACGGTCCCTTAGGATCAGGCTGCTTTCTCCCGAACATCTCCCTCATCAGCATTCTAGGCCCCTGAGCTCCAAAACAATGCTTCTGCCTTCCCACCACCCATGCTCCAAGCTCTTACAGCCCAGTGGTCACTGATGCTCATGACCCACCTTTCACCCTTTTAACTTTACTCTTGATTTGCACTCCCAGAACCATGGCCTCATGCATTGCCTGGAAGCTCCCTCGGGCATAAATGAATGTTTCTCATCCCACACGCATTTCTTCCTCCATTCTTTCATTCAAAGAATATTTATGAAATGCCTACTGCATGCAAGTCACTGATAGGCACCCATGTATGAAAGAAGTCTCTTTTCAGTGAGGGAGAGGCATAAAGGATTCTATGAGACATACCTGGTTGAGTCAAAGCAGTAAAAGGCATAACTTTCCCCTCCCCCATCCTAATAGAAGGTATCTTTTCCAGAAAAATCTTCCACAAATCAGCATTTCTCATTTCTCATTGTAATGGAATTGATGGGTTTAGAGGATAGGGGACTGAGTCACTTACTTGCCTGCAGGATTCCACTTGGTGATTCAGGAGTTTTGTTTGTAGTCATTACCCTGAAGGAATGTTCTGTTTATGAGGCTACGATAGCAGATAGTGTTTTCTTAACATATCTTTGTACACATCATGGAACTTGGCCAGCTCCATGTTACAAATTAGAAAATTGACTCCAAAGTTGCAAATCCAATTGAAAGTATTGGCATTTTGAAAGGCATTTTTCCCAAGCATAGACAATAACAGTCCTAAACAGGCAGGCACCAAGAACTAGACCGCTTAACCCAAACCTAGCCCTTCGACCATGTCTACGGCCAGACACCTGCCAGGCACTCACGCCTTCTGATAAGAGTTGCTGAGCTAAATGTTTTTGTCTTGCATTTTTTCCTTTCCCCTTCCCTAATTACTCACCCAAAGAATCTGATGCTGCCTGTAAAGTCATCGCAGCCATCGGTTCAGTATCTTCCCACCAGCAGCCCTTGACGGTCCCATTAACTTATATGGTCAAATCTGCAGCTGCCCTGATTCCCCACTGTAAAGCACTCTCTCCCTGTGAGAAGCTGTGGAGTGTTCCTTATCGAAGGTTTAAATGGACTCTGCTCGTAAACTTCTTCCTGAGAGGCTTCCTGATGGCCAGGCTGGCCAGAACCAGGGTGCAGGGGTTAGATAGTAAATGCCATGGTCATTTGTGGTCAATTACCTCAATTCCATTTATTTATTGCACTGCCCATAAATCTTGTAGAAAGCCCCCAGTATTTTAGGGCTGGAGTATTCGAATCTCACTTTATCTATCATAATGCAAAGAACTGCGGTATGATACCAGCCTTCCTAGGACTACAGCAGAACAGAGAACGCAGAAGAGGCTAGCCCCAAAGAAGTGGCCTGGCCTGGCCTGGTACTGACTGGCTGCTCTTTAGCTGGTCTGGCAAGAGAGGGCATGAAGCAGGTCTCCTTGGATCCTGCTGATTCCACCTTTACCATCAAATACAACACCTGCCGCTCTAGCCCACTTGTGCGTGCCTCACTGCACCTCCTTCCTTCACCTTGTTTCAACCCTTCCTGTTGCTTCCGCTCCAAACCTTATAGAATTCCTCTGGACAAGTGCTTCTGAGAAGAGCTTTCTGAGGCAGACATCATCTGTCTAGTCTCCATGACCCAGAGCAGGGAGTCTCCTTGATTCTTCTTGGGTGGTCATCTTGGCATCTCGTGTGGTTCTGAGGACTGTTCGGTCCTAGATGAAAGTAGGCTCTGGCTAAAGTTTAATAGTGAACATGACCTGCCTTTATATTATAGGGGCAAAGTTAATACAGTTTCTAGCATTTAGAGTATCTTACTGAGTTTAGATCATTGAGCCAACATACTAAATGCACAATCCCATCACATAAGGACTTGTCATTCCATGAACCTCTTCTGGTATTCATGATTTCACAAGGTCATGAAACTTCTACCGAAGGCTGTGTAGCCTTGAAAACTCACTACAGGTTGCCCTAATATTCACCAAATTCATCCATTCCATTGGCAAATCTAGTTGCCCCTCAGCGCCTAAAAATCTGTACCCCAAATCAAGATCATCTTAAAGGGGACAAGAAGAAGAAGAGTGGGTGGAATCCAACCTGGGGCTCGTGACTGAAGAAATACAATGTCACTTTCTCATCTTTCCATATGCCTCTATCTCAGGTACTCATTGAATTCTTGATGACGTATCTGACTTGAGATTTGCAAGGACTTGGATACCATTTGAAATGGAAAAGATTTTTCATTGGGCTTTAACATACTAAGAAATATGAATGGGAATCCCCAAATCTTTCTCAGCTCTAAGCTTTGGCCTTGTACCTCACAGTCTAAAGAAGTTCTAAGAGCTTCTCTCTCTTCCTTACACTCAAGCTTTAGAAGTACTAGTAAAGCAGACTGGGCCCTTCAGTGTCAATAGTGGCAATGTGACTTGGCACTTTTTGTTGATAAAAGCCTGTTTTGTTTTCCATGAGGAGCTCCTTGGCTCACCCACTCCTTAGAGTGAGAGAAGAGGAAGTCATCACAAAGTTTTAGTCAACTGCTGAACTAATCCCTCCCCTGTGGATGGTCAGGATTGGCATTTGGATTGGCTGCTAGAGAGTCCTGCTGATCCCAGAACCCTCCTGCCCTCCTGTTTGGCTCCATTACTTAAGCATAGGCCTACTGGCTACCTGTGGGTTCGTTGAGGAAAGAGCAAATTGAGGAATATGTCACCACATAGAGTGTGACCCTCACATGGCACCTCCAAAGTTGCAGTGGACCCTGTGTCAGCAATATCAGTAACTTTCATGTCTGCATCCCCACCCCCATCTCCTGACCTGCAAGAGTTCAAAACTATGGGAAAGGTGATGAGAAGAGAGACGAGAAGCAGTGCGGCATGCTGCCTTTGCAAAGCCTGCGAGGCCAACCCATCATCACTGCCGGTCCCTGGGCTTCTCAGGACAGTGACTTGAAACATTCAAAGAAGTATTTAAGAGGAATCTGGAGTTCCCCCCATATGAACTAAGGGAATATTTGGGCAAGAAAAAAAACATACAAGGAAATCCTTCTGAACAAAATGGCTTCTTTACTTACTCTTTTTAAGCAAAAACTGTTTCCAAACTTTTTAGTGTCAAATCTGTAACCAAGTGTCTCCTGATTTTTCCCCAATGTGTTTGGCAAGTGCTGTGACCCTGTTGTAGATATTTCTCCTGTGACTCTTGGGGAGAGGTGGTTTTAGGATTGATTTCGGGGGAGCAGATTTTTGTCCCATCCCACCCTCCTCTCTGTTTCTCTGCTTGTCAATATTGTCTGTGTGGTTCAGAGAATTGGGGCAGTTACATTTTGTCCATTGTCAAGATTATTAAGATATTAAAAAGTAGTTGTAGAACTGAAAAATTAAAGAGCTGTATTTAAAGAAAATGCAAACCAATATCATGTTAATAAAGGAATTCAAGCTATGGGGCAGCCAAACTCCCCCTCCTCCACCAGGTGGCCCTGGTGGCAGCTGGGCTAGCCGCTTGGACAGTACAATGGCCACGCTGCAGGTAGGTGACTGCCTGGGTGAAAGAGACAACTGCTGAGGAAAAGGAATAGGAATCTGGGGCTCAGAGAGTCCCAATTGTGCCAGAGATTTTCCTATAAGTCCTCAGGACCTCTGGGTAGAGATTTCAAAGTTTGTGACCCTATAACCACCCTCCCCCACATTGGTCCCAGCTCAGTGTGCCTAATACTGTGTGGTAGCCTGGGCTTGACTCTCAAGCCCCACACCTGGCAGCAGCCCTGTACAGGCCACAGAACCTCTTTCCTGCCCACTTGGTGCTATATCATCCAGGGACCCTTCCAGTATGGGCCAAGCACTGGCTGCTGGAGCCTGCAATCCAGGCGAATGAATTGTACTCAGATCTCAATTCCTTCTGGCTTCAGGCCCTCGATTCGTTCTCTTTAAAGCTTTTTAGACCCCAGATCTCCCGAGCCCAGCCGGTCTCTCTTGGCCCCAGAGATACCATGGTCAGGAAAGGAAGTGATCCCTGCTGAAGCCAGAGAATCCACGCCCGGGCCAGAGCAAGGCCTCTGCGCCCAGCCCCTCTTCCACACCACGCCAGTATCGCATCCATCCTCTAATGCAACTGGACCTACCTGAGGGCAGCACAGCACCCGTTCGGTCCTACCCGCCCCGTGCAGGACTAGCCCAGGAAGGTTCCAAGCCCACCAGGAAACGTGGGGTCTCCCTGGGATTCGCTCCCCTCTGCTTCAGAAGAGAAGTGCTGCACTCAGTGAGGAGCCAAGGAGCGCTGGGTGCTGACTCCTCGTAGCTTGAGTTCCTTTTGGAGACAGTAGCAGCTGCGATGGTGGTGTCTGTGATGCAAATGCACCCGCTGCCTTCAACTATGTGTGTGTGTGTGTGTATATGTGTGCGCGTGATGGCCAGAGTCATGTTACTGACAGGATAATGACATTACAAAGAAAGTGTGTTATAGTCAACTTTGCCTTGATAATTATTGTAAACACTTTGTTCATTTTTTTCTTTTTTATTCACAAACTAAACCCATCAGGAAATTATAAAGTTATTTAAAAATTGTGTGCTGTGTCTTTAAGTCTCTTCCAGTCTGATAAACCAAGTGACATGTGTCCTCAAATGCTAGAAAAGCAAGGAAAGGCCAGCAGTCCCCAAGAGGTCACTTCCAGTGGTAGGTAAGCCCAGAAGCGGGAGTACCCGGTGGAGGAGTTGGCAGCGCACGGAGCTCTGACAGGCCTGGTGGGGTGCCCTCAGAAGAGTAAGCCCCCTTTAGGCCCCACCTGAGCTCTGGGTTGGCAGCCCCCCTCCTTGCCTTTCAAAGTCAATATCCACCTCCCCTTTTCCCTCCTTACACCCTAGGCCCTGAGCCAGGTTCTCCATTTCAGATCTGATCGTGTTCCAGAGCTTAGAGTACGTACCCACTGCCGAGGGGCCACAGAGCTGCTCATGCTCAGATGGAAGAGCAGCAAGGAGGGGCACAACTTGACAGGGTGTTTGTTTGCAACTGGGATTCGAGCTTCGCAGGGGTGTATTGTGATGGATTAACTCTGGGATGTGTGAGCTGTATCAGCCAACAGAAAGTGTGAACACCAAGAGTGAAAGGGGGCCAAGTGCTTGAAAAATTTCCAGCTTTGATATTTGTCTTGGGCCTTGTGCTCCATAAGAAATTATTCTGGGGAATTTCTTTTATGAGAATTAGTTTTCTGCTTAGCTTCATTTCTGTGTCTACCCGGGAAAGGAATCAGCCTGCTTGCTGCATTCCCTCCCTCGCCCATGTCACTTCTGTCCCCCACGGAGTGCTGGCACTTGGGAATTGGAGTGTGAGAGGTGAGTGTGGCCCCTGCCGGTAGGCTCTCCCGACACCCAGGTTCTGCCCCTGCCTCGCTCTCTCCTGCCCGAGCAGCTGTTGAGAAGTTCTCCCAGGTGTAGGAACACCTGGGGATGGCGCTGTTTACAGAACTGAGACCCTGAGGCTGCTCGTCATTCCGTCGGGAGGCAGGAGCAGCTTTGCTAGCAGAACGTGTATCCTACCGCACAGTATGGAATCACAACCTCAAGCAGATGTGTCCACAGAAAACTGTCAGATTACACTGATCAGCCGTTTCCAGGCTTTTCCATTAATCTTTTTTCACTGTTTGTTTATTCATCCTGCGGTCTACCAGCACTCGGTTGCAGACAAATGGATGCAGAGACCACAGGTTTAAGGAAAATATGTGAGAGGAGAACTCGCGATTGAGAATTCCATCCATTAACTTGTTTTTTTCTCTGAACTGGGAAAGACTGCTATTATTTGATTTTTGAGGTGAAATATCTCGGGCTAACTCAAAGATGATTAAGAACTAGCTAGGCCCTGGGGTGAGGCAGTGTTCTGAGGAAGCAGTTTGAGATCTGCCAGCTTTCCCAGATGTCCTGGAAAGAGCTGTGGAAGAGCTTGGAGCCCCTGGCTGCCCCTTGACCTCTCAGCCTCTTTTCAACCTTCCCCTCTAAAATAATGCTGCCTCCATCTAGGTCACTGCCACAAGCCATAATGAGGATCATACATAATTACATTTTTCCTTTTTGAAAGCTCCGTTAAGAGTATAAAGCATAAAATTGCTTTCTTCATGTCTGCAATTTGCTTTAAAATAATCAAGTATGTGTGTTGGGGAGGCGGCAAGGAGCAGGCTACAGATACAGAAAGATTGGCCATGAGTCAGTAATTGTTGAAGCTGGGCATTGGGTACATGGGTTCATTATACCATTCTATTCTTGTATATGTTTGGAATTTTCTCAAGTTAGCTAGTGTCATCCTTCAATTGTACTTGCCCAGTTATCACACGTGGACCTTTTCCCCCAGGATCCAAGTAATCCACATTCACAAATTGTCACCAGAGCACTCAGTTCGGTGTTCAGACCCCTGTGTTCTAGGCAGCAGGCATACAAATACTCAGAGCTAGTGTCACGTCTCCCGTGGGTCAGGTCCGGTTCTCAGTGCTCTTCTGCTTTGTCTCATTTCGTCTTCATAGCAATCTCATGAGACAGCTACTATTATCCCCACTTTGCAGATGAGGCACAGAAGGGGTAATCACCTGTCCCAGTCATGCAGCTCATGAGTGGTAGGGCTAGAATTGAGACCCAGCTTGTGCTCCTCAACCTGCTACTGTGGCCCCTTCTCTCAGGGAGATGATAATCCAGTGGAGGAAACTAATCCCAATAAAACGTGGTGTGGGAGCACAGAAGAGCAGGCAATGCTCTTCACAGACCTTCAAGTTTGACCTTGAAAGATGAATTTTGCCAGCAACGGAGTTCGAGGATGAGGGGAGGCAGAAAAGACGGCCTGAGCAAAAACAAGGAGGTAGGAAAGGACACGAGGTGTAGGGAAGCAATGACACCAATGTTGATAGATGGAATACTGCTTGGCCTGAGAGCGTGGAGGAGGGGCCGTGGTGGCTGAAAATGTAGCTTAAAAGGAAGTTGAATGAGCCCATATTGTGAAAGGTTTCTAATGCCCTGGAAAGGAAGGCGAGCTTGGGAGAGTATTACCCACACCACCAGTGACCCTAACCACAGCCACCACAAGAGGCTGATAAAGAAAAAAGCACCTGGGTGTGTCCACTCTGGAAAGTGCCCTGCTTTGCTGACCCTGAGGGCTGTTGGAGAAAGAGAAGAGAAGGCCATGGCCTGAAGCTGTCAAGGGAAGTTGCCCAAAGCTACACCTCCAGGAAGTGATGGACCTGGAGCTCAAACGTGGCTGGGTCTCTTTCCAAACCTTTCTCTCCAGTTCCTTTCACTGGTGCACAGCACCGTCAAAGGCTCAAAGCCAGGTAGGAGGCTGACATGTGATCTAGGACACTGAGGAGACTTCCTGCTAGCCTTGTAGGGTTTGAGGTATCAAGGCCAGGGGGTGGTTTGAGGTTTCAGAGGAAAGAGGGAAATGATACGCCTGGCTTGCTCACCAGCAGGATGGATGTGAGTCATGCCAGGAGTTCGTGCTCCATTAGGCTCCGGAAGCCATTTATTCCCCAAGAAGTAGGCGATGAAGCGCTAGAATGTTCTCACCTTTTTTGGGCCCTTGATGGGAAAGGAATGAGGGTTGAAGACTTGGTGATGCACGTCAGCCCTCCCCACCCACAGAGACCGCTCCTTTGCCACGTTGCCTGGGGAAGAAGTTATCACCAGGCCGCATGGGTGGCTCCCAGGGCAGCCGTGGGATCTTCACAGCCTCGTGCTGCTCCTGGGCTTTAAAAGGAAGGAAAGCGCTCTGTTTTCCTTCCAAACCGTTCACGACAGCATGCTGACGTTCCTCTTTCCCCTCCTGAATTAACACTCCTTCCAATCTCTCAGCCTCGGCACCCCTGGTGCTCCGTCTCCTCAGTCTTGTTTATGGGGGCAAAGAACTTGAGCCGTGGTCCGTTTAAGAAGGAGAGTTGGCCAGGTGAGGAAAACGTCCATCGGACAGCTGCAGAGTTTCCATGCCAAAAGCTGTCTCTAGCCTCTGGTGGAATTCACACTCAAGAGGTGGTTCCTATTTGGTTCATCTTGGACCTGAACTTTTTTATCATAGTTTTATTCTTAAGGGTTGTTGGAAATGAGACTTTGGAGGGAATCTGTTTGCATTCTTAACGTGGACTTGGAGTTGTGTGCACGGTTTAATGGGTTGGTGTCCCTGGACAGCTCCTTACTGTGCATTTGTGCAGTGTGCATGTACTGGGAACACAACTCAGAAAGGAGAACTCTGTGACGGTTCTCCCGCCACCGCTGAGGAAAATGGTGAGCCACGTGGGCAGCGACCTTGGAAACATGGGGCAGGCTCCAGGGTGCATGGGTGACTGGAGGTTTCTGCATCCAGTTTTTCCAGCATTGTTATCATAAGCATTGATGGCAGGAGGATCCTGCAACTTTTAGGAGTCATCTGACTCTTTTGGGGAAAAGAAAACTCCAGAAGCTAGTCAACCTTCCCCATCAGTTGGGCTCATTGCTGGACATTCCCTGATGCTAGCTGCCTAAAGGACACCCAATCCAGGAGGGGCGTCCATCTCGGGGCGGCTGTCTTCAGCTACACCCTCTCCTCGCCCAAGTTCAGCCTCTTTGGGGCCTTCGGGGGGTGTGGGGAACAGGGTGCTTATCCTGCTCAATGGGCAAAGAACGAGCTTCTCTATTTCAGGGCAAAGTAGGGCTTGGCCTGTGGCATGTTGGCCCTGAACGTGAAGGCAGGTGGGCCAGGAATGGGAAAACCTAGGTTCCCATCCTGGCTTTGCTGGAGAATTCATTTAACTTCTTTGACCTTCAGTTTTCTCATTTTTAAAATAGAAATATGCTGCCCACTTCACAGGTGTGTAGTGAAGGTAAACGAGATAATGCACGGGAAGCAGCAAGCCTCACGTAGTATACGGTGGGCATCCAGCAGCCATCGGTCGCATTAAATCAGCTTGAGTGAGCCGTCTCTTGCTTGCGGAACTTGCTGGGCAGCACCTGCCATGTGTAGGGTAGGATGATCCCCATGGGTTGTAAGGAAATCCACACACTGTTTAGCCTAAAGCCTTGAAAATGGGATCATCACCTTTATAGAAGGTCATCCCGCTCTGCCCAGAGCCTACTCCAAGGCCTGTCGCCTGCTGTCTGGAATGCTCCGTAGATGCCGAAATCCTCTACAGGTGGGAAGACAGGCCTCGGAGGAGAAGTCTTCTGTGGGGGAGTCACTGACCTCTCCACTCTGCCCCTGTTCCAGGCCCCCCAGGCCCTCTCTGGACTCAGGAAAGTACAATCAGAGGGCTCTGGGCCTGCCTTCCTGGGAGCCTGGTCCCTGGGCTTGGGCCCCTGTCCCCTCCCCCAGGGGAGTCGGATGCCAACAATCATATTGCTTCTGCTTTAGGAGGAAAAAAAATCCCAGATGCCAATGTGCCTGCCTCATCAGCTGGGACCACGTTACCCTCCTGCAGGGATGGGCTCCTGAATGCGAGCTTTGTCTGCCCTGCCTCTTAGTCACTGTGACAAAAGAGACCCAGAGAGACTGGAGCCCAGCACTGGATTCTTTGGCCAGGACGTCACGTCGTGGTGTTCAGGACACAGGATACAAACAAACC